TTTAGTTATAAATATTAATAAAATTTAGTAAAATAACATAAAGTTTCGGTTATATTTCGGTATATAAGTTTTGGGATAGTTTTGGGATAGTTTCGGGTTTCAGATTTCGGAAAATAAATGCATATTCTGAAACTAAGTTTCGGTATATACCTAAACCTAAAGGGTTTCAGGGAGTTTCGGTTTCATATCCCATGTTTAATTTCAACGCCATTTTGTAGTTTAAGTTAGTAACAATTAAACTATGTTGAGTTATTTTAAATATATGCATTCAAAATATTTTTATTAAATTTCTAATTTGGACAATTTTATTTGATGAATTGTTATGTCTCAAACCATACAAAAAAAATATAAAGGAAATATTAAAAGTATTTCCTTATAAAAATAAGAAATTTTTTTCAAAGCGAAATATTTCAAAACTTATTTTTTGTTATTTTTCTAAAAAAATTATAAAAAATATAAAAAAAAAACGTTAGAATCATTTTCTTATAAAAAAAATGAAAATTTTTTATTTTTTATTTGAAGTAAAATAAGACCCCGTCTACTATTAAAATAGGTTACTTTATGGTCTAAAGTAAGGTTTACATATAAAACTCTTTGAAGATCTTACTATAAAAAGAAATTTTATGTTACATTGTTATGATTTTTTTTCCTTTTTAGTCAATTAACCAATAGAATTTAAGCAAATCCTAAGGTAAGATTTCATATGAAAGTGAAATTTCTACTGGTAACATATCTTAGTAGTAGGTGGGGTCCTAATAGAATACTTTAAATTTATAATTTAAGAAATGAAAAAAATAAAACTCTAGAACTATTTACAGAAAATGTAAATAATTTGATAAATTTTGTGATATAATGTTAATTCTAAAAATATGAGCCTTTTGCAGAAAAAAATGGAATATAAAAAATGAAAAAATAAAAAGTAAAGGACAAAACAAAAAGATAAGAAGAGGAGAGAATGAAAAGAGAAGAATGAAATGAAAAGAAAAGAAAGAATAAAAAAAATTAAGATTTGTTAAAAAAAGCTTAATTTTTTTTGCTATACTGCAATCCACCTTGGTAATTATTAATCTAGTATCATGTAATACATGTGATATAGAGTACATTATATAAAACACATAATGCTTAATATTAATTTTAATAAATATATATATACTTAAATTAAATAGTACAGTGATTAGATTGTAAAATACGATATTGTAAGTTAAGATAACTAGCTCAATTTTTAAGGTGAGTAAAACAAATATTATATAAATACATATATATATTGTATATAAAAATAAATAAAATAAATACTGGTAATATTGTAAATTATGTTGAATATACCCAATCAGCATAATTTTACTAAATGATTTTAAAGGGACAATTTTTTGTATAACAATTAGCATAAGTTAAATTTTTATCAAAAGACTAAACAAATTTTATTTAATAATCAGTATTAGTTAATTTGTGATTATTGATTTTACCAATTTTTGCCATTGATTAAAAAATCTAATAATTTACATAACCAATCAACAAAAATCATTTTATAAGTTTTTAATAATTAATTCACATAACCAATTGGCAAAAATCATGCTAAAAGCTCTTAATGGTTAAAAGTTTTGATTTTGACTAGTGAAAATATGAAAGAATGTCTAGTTATAATATAGGATTTACTCTAAAAGTAAATAATATTTTTGATTTTTAATAAAGTTACTGATTTTTAAAGAAACAAATTTAGTTTGTACAAAGAACGAATTTATTTTAAACTAGAAATTCAAGTTTTTTATTTTAAATCCCTTACTGTATATAAATAAGTTTTTTCAGAATATTATTATATAATTAATAGAGTTGTGCAACTCAACAAATTTTCTATTCCATATGATCTAAAAGTATTTATCACTGGTATTACATCTTACTGCATTTTCACTGTTTATATTTATTTAAACTTTAAAGGACTTAGTTTTTTTTTTTACCACCAAAATTATTTTTTTCATATCCTTTTAAATGTTACCAGTTAATACATCAAATAAATTTTAATTATAAAAAGACAAATTTATTCTAAACTAGAAATCCAGCTTTTTTATCCTAAACCCCCTATATAAATAAGTTTTTTCAGAATAACCATTATGTAATTAATACAGTATAGAATAAGAACCCAGTCAAGCCGGTTAAATGATATTGAGTATGATATATATATATCATACTCAATAACTATATTAAGTCTATTTTAAGGACACTTTTTTATATAAATAATTAGTTTAAATAATTTCTATTAAATTTAATATTTTATTGGTTGACTGGTAATACGGGTTACCAATGACTTTTTCCCTTATATCATATAGCTTTTAAAACAACTTTTTTAAGCCGCAAAAAAAGTCGACCCAAATCACGTGTACATACTACATAAATCGCGTTTATTTATTTAAACACGTGATAAAAGATATACCGCGTTATTTCCTTTTATAATACGCGTTATTTACGTATAAAAAAAAATATTTAAATACACTTATCTTATTTCTTATTGATTAGATAGTTTTAAAGTTTGCAGAATGATTCCTATTCCTTCTATTCCTTCAAACACACCTTCTAGAGTTCATATTACAATTTACCAAGACGATGCTCCATCTTCACGCAAAAGTAACAAACGTATCCTCAGTGATGAAATGGATGTTACACCTCATAGTAGAAAAACTATGCGTAATCGCAGTCCCTCTCAAAGTCGAACTCCAATGAATTCACTTCGTATTTCTGGCAAACCTAGAGTTCCATTTTATGATAAAGTAAATTTAACACCTTATAATCCACACAAAGCCTTAATAAACAAGTCAAAGTCTACTTCTACGCCGAAAACTGCTAAAACCGTTACATTTAGCGATTCTCATACTACTTATGAAAACGAGGTTACTTCAGCAAATAAAAAATTCAAGAATGAGTCTGGTCAAGTCGTTAATATAGACTCTTATAGGAGAAGAATCGAACAACTTGAAGCCGAATTGAGGAACCAAATAGATGAAAATCAGAAACAAACCGAAGAAGTTCAGAAATACCGCCAAGAAATCGAGAGAGCGCTCGAAAGAGCTAAGTGTAGGTATTTGTTCATTAAGTGTTATTTGCTATTTAAACACCTCAATAATGTATTGTTTTTTGTTTGTAAGATGTGGCTTTAGGTTATAAAAACGAATTATATGGACCTGTTTATATCGATGGTGATCATAATTCTATTAATAAGTTATTGAGACACTTAGCCAAAGTTGTAGGTCAAGACGTCATTAATAGATTTAGAGAAGAAACTTTGGTTGATGATGAATTACCTGCACTTAATCAGATTATTGCATGGTTTGAAGAATCAGGTAATTTTTCGCTAATAAAATTAACTTTTCAATATATATTCATGACACAAGAAAAATTCTTATATAGGTTTCTTGAAGTATGAGGTTCTTAAAGAATTTCGTGCTGCAAAGATGATCTTGTCACTGGATCTAACTTATACGTTCGAAAACGTTAAGCGGGATAACAACAATATTTTCATTAAAAATAACTTGAAACCAATCGAAATCGAACCTCAAAAATTAAATCACCATATGCAGAATGCTAATCGATTGGTATCTGTGTTTGGCTTACCAAACGGCTTTAGATACTTAAAAGCATTGAAATTGAGCAATATGCCAATTAAGGATTCTTACTTTAACAATTTCCGGGGTCTAAGCCTGAATGAATTGGTTATTGACAATACTGGAATCGGGGACGAGGCATTGGCTTATCTTGTAGCACTAAAAGATAATTTGTGCCTTTTGAATATCACTGGAAATATGAAAATTACTGATGATTCTATATTTATTCTAGTTCTTTTCGAAAAATTGATGGTATTGCTCCTGGATGATACTTCTATTTCTATGGATGGAGTTCGCAAATTTGTTTCTATGACAGCCAGCATTGAGTTATCACAAATTTCTATCCCCTCATCATGCCGTAAATATCTTAATAAACGAAAAGAAATCTATTGTGTTGAACATAAACAAGGAATGAAAGTTGATCCATTAGAAGTTAAATTTATGAGTCTTTCAGAGATTCGTCGACAACTAATGTTCCATTATGAGGTTAATTCTAATATTAACATTGTTGGCTCTAAAGAAGAATTAGAAGAATTGTTGAGAGAGATTTTGAAACGGCGACGTGACGATGGAAAGGCTATGTTGTTGACTGGTGGGCGTGATTAATACACCAACGATACATTATAAAGAAATTATAATTCTAATGAATTTATTTGATCTAATAAGCACAAATGGATGTTATGTATGAGTTTTTAATGATGGTCTGTAAAATTGATGAAGATTATATGTAAAGTATCCGCCATTATCTTTTATCAATATCAAAAGTTAATTTACAAATTTCGATCTAGCTACATTATATACTACATTATTTTTTTTATTTTTTTTTTTTAACGAAATATAATTTTAATAATTCTCAAAATTACTTATTAATCCAGATAATGTATGAAAAGTTGTTCTTTATGATTATTATAATACAAATAAAGTTTAAACAAGAGATGGATGCATGCATTAATTTCTTGAAACTATAAACTATTTAAACCGAACTTTACTACTTATTCATTATCGACCCATGAACTAGCCAAATCACCAAAAAATGGCATCTCAAACCGTTCCAAAGAATCTCCATCCTTATAGGCTTGATAACTAGCAATATAATAAATAATATTTTAATAATCTTGTTTAATGAGTAAATAATAGTTAAACATGACAACCAACCCAAGGAAACAAATTAGTCCTATCTCTGTAAACAAAAGGGCCCAGCTTAGAACATTGGAAATAAGAATTATAATTAAATGGAAAAACTAAATAGAAAAACAAATAAAAATTATAAAATAATAAATCAATGAAATAAGAGGAAAAATACTACTAACAATTTTTACTTACAAAGATGGTTGCAAATAATATTGAAGACTATATAAGAGAGAAATCATTTAGATCAAACATCGTATTATTACTTAGAATAAACTGATTAAATTTTAATAAATATGAATACTTTACCTGCCACGCGTGAAATCGAACATAATCATTCTTTTGTTCTAAAATTAAGAGAAGAACACCTAAAAAACAAATCCATGAATTATTGTTTAAATTCATTGTTTCTTATAAATTACAGTTAAAATGCAAAAAGTTTTACCAGTTACGCAACCAAAAGCATAAGCCATAGCCGCTTCGATATCAACTCTAAAATAAAGAACAATAAATAACGAATAAGCATACTGTAATTTCATAAAGTAGTAATAGTGGAGTTACAACTTTGTATTACAATAAATTTCCTACCTTATTGGCAAATCTGTCTCATATTTATTAATTTTCATTTGGCCGTCGGGCAACTGTTCTGTTTGTCGATAAACTCCAGCAAAAGGGTTTGCAGAAGCAGAAGTTGACGCTGTTGTACTGCTAGCATATCGAACAGAATTACGGTTCAATTTTTGTTCATCGGGAGGTGGAGTATAAGGTGAGAAGGTAGACGGATTTTGATATGACATTGCCTCTTAAAAACTTGCAACTCGAAAAGGAAAAAAATATTTGTCTTGCGTTTAGAATAGATTCTGTTATTCTGCTTCTATTTATGGTGTATCACGTGTCATGACTCATGGCCGGTAATTTTTTAATGATTTAGTCCTCAGGCATTTACGTACAAGTTTGGAGATAAAACGATCGAAACTGCTATAGTTCATGAACTGGGTTAAAAATAGGATAGAATTTGTAGTTGATACTCAATTATAATTGGTTACCGAAGTATTACTATTAATCATTCCATTGTTGAACTAATAATTTAGATACTTTGAAAGTTGTTTTCATCGAAAGATTATCTATCGTCTTGATGATCTTACAAAGTCCTTTGGTTTGTATCACTTTCATCAAGGGGGACAACAAATTGATATAATCGAAAGACTATCACAAAAAAATATCGTTTAAAATTAAAAATGAAAGAAGAAATTTGATAATACATTTCATTAAGCATTTTATTGATTCAAATCTACACAGTGACTTGTGTCACGTGTGAAATTGACTTTATTATACAGTAGTTATTTTGTTCCATAATAAGTATGATATACATCCACCAAATTCTTTCCTCTAGATTTCGCAATTTCTGACGGTAATTTTTGACTATTCAAAGCTTCGAAAGTACATTTTATAACATTCATTCCATTGCACGAACCAAAAACTTTTGCGGAAAGATCTTGGATACCGATACATTTAGCAATTTCATGTATATAATGGTTACATCTTATACCAAACCCTAAAAAAAGAATAAAAACAGTAAATAAAAGAAAATTTCAATTCTTATTCTTATCTAACTTACCAGGAGGTCTGACCCATAATTTTATTGTTGTTCCATGAAATTTATGCTCTATATCATGATATAAAGTTCTATCATCATACCTTTCAAAATATCTTAAGCTTTTTATAGCCTTGTTAGTAGCTTTTTTGATAGCAGTTGGAACCTCATCATGTTTACCCTCTCCAAAACCGGCAACACCTTTACCATTGCCCACAACTACTAAAACATACATGCTAGGAATCCTGCCCTTCTCTGTTTGATTTATAACACGCTTTATAATAAGAGTTTTTTTCTGTAAATCACGAATTTCAGAAGGGGAAAGCCCAGTGACTGCTGATAATGCGTCAGTGTCATCGCTTTCGGTTTCCGGAGCAGTTATTACTACGGAAGGACGGGTTACTGGAAATGAAGGATCAATTATTGTTCCCGACACATCTAAAATTGGATCAAGTTTTGATATATCAGAAAGTCTGAATATGTCAAGTCCTCCTACACGAGGACGAAGCGGTCTACTAAATTTATCATTTTTATCTTTGTTAGTGTCTGTAGAAGTTGAAGTTGTTGAAAAAGCGCGTAGGTGATGAAGTATTAGATGTTTCTTGGGACTGTATTCATTAAATACAAAAGCATTATTTGCGACATTGATAAATGATTTACGTAAAGGAATTGGAAATTTTGCAACTAAGTTCATAGTATAGTAAGTGATCTTTAAAATGGTAAAATGTGGCTGATTTAATTTCTATGCATGATGACTTTTGTTTATACTATATGCGGGAATAGATATAAATAATTTTTTAGTATAGGAAGATCTCTTTTTACAGAGACTCAAGCTTTGTAAATCAACGCAATATAATGAATTTTATATCCGGAAAAACTGAAGACAGCATTTCTCTTCCAAAACTTCGAGATACGCTTATTCGTCTTGAGGATACTATAATTTTTGGTAAATTACTAAAATATCATGGTTGTTGATATATATTATGGTTTTTAAATTTTTATTATTGATATCCGAGTAGCTTTGATTGAGAGAGCACAGTTTTCTGTTAATGACAACATTTATAAACCTGGAATGTATAAATATGATGGCTTTGAAGGAACTTTCCTAGAATATTTTTTGTCCGAAGTTGAAAAAGTACATGGTAATTTTATTTAAATTGTTAAAATTTTTTTTTTTACAGAAATTTTTCACGATACTTACCAAATTTTAAATACTTTTAATTTTATAGCAAAAGTAAGAAGATATCAAAGGTAAAAAAGAAACTTATTCTTTTTAGAAATTCTCAAATGGGTTCATTATTTATTTTATATCATCTTTAAAGTCCCGATGAGTATCCATTCACGGGAACTCTTCCAGATCCAATTATTCCTCCTCTTGATTATCCACAAATCCTTAAACCTAATAACATTAATATTAATAAAAAAATAATGAAATTTTATCTCGAGAACATTGTTCCTTCGCTATGCGTGCCGGGAGATGATCAAAATTATGGTTCCGCGGCAACTAAAGATGTAGAGTGTCTTCAAGCTTTATCTCAAAGAATTCATTATGGTAAACATATTTAATTATTTCATTAGTAGCAATTACAACATTAACTTATTGATTTCATTTTTAAAGGGAAATTTGTTGCTGAGGCAAAATTTCTCGATCCAAAACTTCAACCTAAATACATTGAACATATCAAAAATCGGGATGTTAAGGAACTTGAAAATTTGTTAACTGACAAACGTGTTGAGGAAGCTTTATTAAAAAGACTTAGACGTAAAGCTTTAATATATGGTCAAGATATTTCAGAACATGGTGGATTAAATTTGGATAATATGCAAACTACAGAGCAATTAAAAATTAATGTAGATGTAGTTGTTGAATTGTATGAAAAATGGGTCATCCCTTTAACAAAAGAAGTTGAAATTGAGTATTTATTGATAAGACTTGACGAGTGAAATTTTGTAAATTTCATTGATTTTGATAGTAAGAACTTGATTTAACTAAAAAATGCCACTTCTATTTATTTTATGACAAAGATTTGTTTAAAATAAGTTAGTATCTTTGGGAATAATTTAGAATAGTTAGATTACAAATTTTATTAGATTTCTGCGTACTATTATTTGATATTGTATTTAGAATTTGTTTAAAGTGGTATTTTGTGATCTCTTAATTATTATTAGTTTCTAAGATTATTTAAACATTATATTTGATCAAAAAATCAAAAGTGCAAGTGTGGTTATTCTGTCTTCTACTCAATATATTTAATTTTTGCCAGTATTATACTTTTGCAATAATTCAGTTTATCTTACTTTACTAATTCAACTTTTAATTTATTACAGAATCATTTAATTATTATTATAAAAAGCAAAGTAATTATATTTAATATTAGAATAAATATTTTGAACAAATAAAATTAATCTATTATAATTAATAAATAGTTGTAATAATATTTCTTTAATATAATTATATAAATTTATACTATAGCTATAATTTATTATCTAAATATATTTGACAATTTGTAAAAACAAATTATACTTTTTAAAATTGAATTACTAGATGCTAAGAAATTTATATAATTTTAACTTTTTAAAAAAAAATGAAAAAAATGGGTTAATTTGTGATTTATAACTTATTTTAATTATTTCTATAAGCATCAGGATTTTTGATTTAAAATAATATTAAATAGTTTTATAACTTATTTTATTAAAAAATTTTAGATTTTTATAAGATTCTGAATAAATTATAATATACTTTTGGCCAAAATTACTCATTTTCATAAAACTCAATATATATATATGTGTATATATATATATGTATATACTGTATTTTTTGTTTTTTGCAAATATCTCAATATTCAATAATTTAAATTTGATGAACTTTTTTTAAATTATAAAACTTAATTAAGGATTATGATATTTATTTAGAAAGATTTTTTCGTAAAGCATGATTATAATAAGAGTACAGGTTTGATTTCTAATAGCTTAAATTTGTAAAAATTATACTATATGCATAGCTATGGTATCTACTGTATTAAACTAATTTAGACCAATATAATTAATCCAAATTGGTTAGTAGTTTTAGCTAATAGTATTAATTAGTTTTATTTACAACCTAAATGATAGAAATATTTATAATAATTACTTTTAAGTAGGGTTCTATCTACTACTAATAGATATTTTTTACAGAAACTTTAAATTTTCAAGTGATATCATTTTGATATTATTTTAATATTGATTCAATATCAATTTAATATCAATACGATATCAAAATAAAATATTGTCACTTTAATATTAAAATGATATCGAAATAGTATCAAAATGAGATCAAAATGATAATAGAAATGACATTGAAACAACATATTTAAGTTTAACTTAAAGATGTCATTTCGATATCATTTTAATTATCATTTCTTAATATCAGTATGATATTGAAATGATAATACTTCATTTCGATATTATATCGATATTAAATTGATATTGAAAACAATACCGTTAACATAAACTTAACAATATCAATTTTATATTAATTAAAAATATTAAGTTTCTGTAAAGTAGGTAGCATATATTTTTTTAAAAAAAAATCTTTTTTTAATTAATATTAATTAAAATTTTTGTAATTTTAATTTACTTTATAATGGTTAAATTTATTACATATTTAATAAAATATCTGATTTTATAATTTATATAATTAAACTTAATAAATATATTAAGAGAAAAATATACTATCATATAACAAATAATAGTTTAAACTATTATTTAATAAAAAACTTATTTAAAATAGTTTATTTATTAATATTTTAATTCTTTTAAAATTATATGACTAAAAGTAATAACTTTAAACTATTTGTACTATAATAGTAGTCTTCCCTTTGTATTGATATGTAGCGATTCCTTTGAGTATAATAAATAAAAATATATATATATATATATGCTAAGTTACCAATTATTAAAAATAAAATGCTTTTAAAATCTTATAATGATAATTTGCAACTGCTAATATTACTGCCCAAAACTTATTTAATAATAAAATTCAAAAATCTGAAACTCAAAAACTTTATTTTTAATAAAAAATTGGTAAATCTAAAACTTTTTTAAATTATAATTAGTTTCAGAAAAACATAAAAACAGTTTTGGCAATTAAGTTTATTATAAAAAATAGTTTCAGATTAAATTTTGATTAAACTAAAATTTTGAAAAAAAATAGTTTTAGCAAGTAATATCTTTAGTAAAAAAATTAAAAAATAATAAAAAATATATTTTTTCACACCTGTGATATGTTGCATTTTCCTTTTTTAGTAATTTTTATATATTAATTATGTCAATCATTTTGATCACGTGACTTCATTAAGATTTTTCATTTTTTAGTATTTACTATATATTATAAGAAACTTTATACTATATGTATTTTTAATTGCTTTACAAGTTTTCTTAATAGGACCCCAGACATCACATATATAACTCATAACTGATCTGCATGAATTTAAGTACTTTTTGCTCCTGCTAAAATAGACCTAATTTGCTAAAAATCAAATTATCACATTTCAAATCTATACTAATTTGCTAAAACTCAAAATATGAGTTAATAATTTTTTCTTTTTTTTTTTTTTTTTTTTTTTAAATGTTGAATTATGTACCATTTTATTAGAATATATTTGGACTACATAATAATCACAAATATTCTATGAATGATACTTCCAGCTACAGACCAGTCAAATCAAACATTAGATATTATATTACCAATAAAATTAAAATTAAGAATAAAAGTAACCAAAAAGCATAGCAAAATAATATACCATAATCTAAAAGTATAAACAAAAATAAAGCATTAAAAGAAAAACAAAAACAAAATTAAAAATAAAAATAAAATTAACAATAATTAATAAATTATATGTCTAAAATTATAAATAAATATAAATATAAATAAGAAAAGAATAAAAATATTATTTTTGTATCTATTAATCCAATAATTTTTTGCTTATGTATAATAACGTAATCTTATCAACTTTCTTTTTTATTGGAATCCAATTCTCATATATGTATTTCCTTACAAAGGTGTCCATAGATTTCTTTACCAAAGAGACTGATTTTTGTAATCGATCTACTTTTCCCATTTGTAAATCTTTAACTTTATTTGTAAGTTGATTTGAATTGTCCTTTACTTTGAATTCTGAAAGTTGATTTGAATTGTCTTTTGCTTTGGATTCTGAAGTAATTTTTTCTTTTATTATCAATAAAAAAATAAATGATTAATATAAATTAAACTGCCAATTTTTATAATTAAAATATGTAGATTATAGATAAATAATTATTAAAAAATAAAATGTTGCGAAACTAAACAGACGGGTTTTGGCCCGCATTATGCTTAATTTTGGCCGGAATTATACTTAATTTTGGCCAAAATATAACCCAGACCCAGAAATTAATATTTTTAAAAATATTATTTATAAAGTTAAAAAAAAAGGATAAGTTAAATTTTAAAAAAAGTACCAATTTGCTCAAATATAAAATATGACTTTGTAAATTTTCAATCAATTTACTCTATCTAAAATTATGAGTTTAACCTAATTTTGATTGAATTTGCTAAAACTCAAATGTGAGTTATATATGTGATGTCTGGGATCCTTTCTTAATATATCAAAAAGGATTTAGAATGCTATTTTTGACTTTTATATGTAACATATTATAGGAGTGCAATATAAAGCAGGTGTAATAAAAAACAAACCCTTTTAAAATAATAATATTTAAATAAAAAAAAATAAATAAAATTATGCTATTTGTATTTGATTTTATAAATTAAAAATGCAAGAAATCTTACTATTTTTAGCAATACATAGTTATTAATTTATCATGAAAATTCTAATTAAACTAAAAGATAAAAAAAACAACTATAAAAATAGTGAATAAAAATTTTATTAATATTACCAAATATTTTAATAATTTAATATTAATTTATAGTAAATATTACAGCTAATAATTCAATTAATTTTGAAAAAATAAAAAATAATAGAAAAAGAAAAGTTTAATTAGTATTATTAAAAAAATTAAATATATTAATTAAAAATAAATTATTAGCTTTTTATTCTTCTTTATTTTATAAAGTTAAAAGGGTTAATTGTCAACAAATAGAAAATTATAATATGATATAAATATAAGTAAACTTTGCTTCTTTTTTTATTTTTTATTTTTTATTTTTTTTTTTCCACAGTACATTTGCAGTTTTATTAAAGTAAAAAAATAAAGAAAATATGTACAAGTTGCTTCTTTTTTTATTATTATAGTAATAATTTAAAAATATGTATAAAAATCATGATAATATATAAATATTTATAAAAAAAGTACTGTATTATTTTGAAATTAAACAACTATTTTTTAAATTTAATTCTATTTAGCAAATTAATTATTTTTTAATTAGCTTTTAAGTTAAAATATTATATAATGCAAAATTATTGATTACTATACAAAATTACATCAATAATATCATTGCAGATATTCATATAAAAATTTTATAATAGATTATATAATATGTTATAAGTTACAATTTTTCATTAGCTTAATGAATAATGTAGTTAAAAAAAGGCATTTTTATTTAAAACTGAAAAAATTAAATTTGTCAAAAATTTTTATATTATATAATTAATTAAAAGGTTTTTCTTTAGTAATACTAGATTTCAATTTTAATTAAAAATATATATTATATAATTATAAAAAGTATAAAAATATACTAATTATAAAATTAATATTTTTTATTAAATAATATTTATACAATAAATAATTTGTTTTAAAATGTATAGTTAATGAAAAAATAGGGAGAAATTTTTACTGCTAATTGCATAAATTATTTTTTCTGAGAAAATTTTTAGCAATAAAATATAAGAAATATGGCTTCTATTGCTAATAAAACTTTAAATATTGGCCTTATAAAGGCAGAAAAACTAGTAAAATCACTAGAAAGTATAGAATTTTTTAACCTTATTGAAGCAAGATTATTAAACCTTTAAAATATTAATGCAACTGATATATACTAAATTTTTGAGTATTTTTCTAAAAATACCTTTAACAAATTTGCAGAATTTAAAAGAAGTTATGAAAAAAAAACTGGAAAAACTTGGAATGAATAAACAACAAATATTTTATATACTTAATATATGTACTTTTTTTAAAAAAAAATGCTTATTAATCAGCTAATAAGAATGTATCAACAAATTTATCTAATAGCACATTTGCTATCTCAATTACTGGTCAAATCTATTATAATACAAATAAATTTCTAAATGCAATAGCTGAATTATATATCTTAAAAAGTAAAAATTGGAAAGTAATTTATGCAGAAATGGTTATCACAGAATTCAGGTAGTAATGATAGCAGATTAATATTACACACATCATTTAAAAGTAAATAGCAGAAATAAT